TGATATGTCCAGCATCTAACTGTTCCTTAACTAATGTGTTTGCAGCCTCCAATTTTTCCTTATTAAGGGGCCACTGCTCCACCCATACAAGTGTGCTTATTTTTTTTAAAAGATGATTATTATTTTTGATTTTTATATGAAGGTGGGGGATCTGAGGTTGGCTCCTGTTTGTGTGGTATGTATTTCACTGACTGAGCATCTCCCCAGCCTCTACTTTCTACGTCTTGACTTCAGGCACATCTCTGAAGTCTCTCTGCTTCCCTTGAACTAAAAAAATCCTGTGCCTCAGCCTCCAAAGTGCTGGATTACAGGCTTGAGCCCTCGTGCCTGCGTTTATGGCCGTCCCTTTTGGAGGTAACATTATCTGGAGTTGAACAGCTAAGATGTGGACGCCTTTGGAGGCTGATATTCTGCCAATCTCAGCATGCTTTGGACTGTTTTGCTGCGTTATTTTCTTTGCCCCAGATGCAGTGGGAGTACTCCCTTTGAGTCAGGATGCAGGTGATGGGCTGGTTAGAGCAGAGAGGACTGTAAACAAGGACTGAGAAATACCTGTGGCTCTGGCAGTGTCACTTGGGTAAACTCGAAAAGTGAGTAAGCATAAAGCTATCTAACACCATGTGAAGTTTCTCCTTCCTGATCCCCTCCCTCCCTCCCTCCCTCCCTCTTCCTCCCTCCTCCTCCCTCCCCTCCCCTCCCCTCCTTCCCCTCCCCTCTCCTTCCTTAGTAGGGTCTGACTGCATAGCCCAGGCTGTTCATTTTGGTCTCTTTTATATTTATGTTTTTAAAAATGTTAGATACTTGTAATCAGAGTGTGCTTTCTCTCCCTCTCTCTTTCTCTCTTTCTCTCTCTCTCTCTCTCTCTCTCTCTCTCTCTCTCTCTCTCTCTCTCTCTGGTTGTGCTTCTTTTCATGTACGAGTGAGGAGACAAGGATTCTCTGAGACACCCCTACTTCAGCGGGATAGGAGGGTGCTGGCAGAGAGAGAGAGAGAGGATATTTGCAGTTAGGTTGAGCTGCTGCTGGGACGTTTGGACTTGAAGTACTTTCTCAAGTACTATGACTCAGCTGTACAGGGGTGAGTGCTGTGGGCCAGAAAGCAGAGTGACAGGGTGGCAGTTGCTCCTCTTCTTCCAGGGACAGAGGTGGACAGGATTTGCAGAAGTCCTGTAATGTGCTGTCCTGTTCCACATTGCTGATGAGCTGTGGAGGTCTGCTGTCCTTGGGTGAGGCACCTGGCTCTCTGGTGACGGGCCTTAGTGTACCTTTTGACAGGGAGGCAGTGGCAGTTATGAGTATCTGCTCTTATCTTCAAGCTTAATTTTGCTAGTAATTTTTTAGGGGAAGGGGATTTGGAGATAGGATTTCTCTGTGTAACCCTGGCTGTCCTGGAACTTATTTTGTAAACCAGGCTGGCCTTGAACGAAGGGATCCGGGCCTGCTGAGTGCAGGGATTAAAGGTGTGTGCCACCACCACCCTGCATAATCTCTTATTTTTAAAGCAGAGCTTAATTTTCCAAACTTAATGTGCTGGTAAATAGTCTGTATGTTTTTTGAGACAGAGTCTTACCATGTAGCTCCAGCTGGCCTGGATGTAGAGCAGCCTGGCCTTGAACTCAGAGATTTTTATGCCTCTGCCTCCCAAATGCTGGAACTAAAGTTGTATGCTACTATGCCCTTTAGAAGTGGCTGTCATATCTTTTCTTTGTCATATAATAGTGTATTTCTTTTAAAAAAATTATTTTAGATTTTATTTATTTTTATTTACTATGTATGGAGTTTAGTCTGCATGTATGTCTGTGTACAATG